TTAACACTTTGGTTCATAATTCCTTTATTTATCTCTCCATTCTATAGCAAAACATGTTTGAGATGAAGCAGTGTCGTCACATTGCAATGCCAGTACTTGATGGCTTTTAATATTGTGGTGCATCTCTGAGGCATAAATAAAACACAAGTGATATTACCTATTCTTAACTCGCTAGTAATTATTTCAATAAAGGAGAATTCATGCTGTCAAGTATCAATAAGGGCCCTTGATAGCAGCTCGTAACTCTGTTTTCTGGTAATCAAACAGCTTCGTATTGGGCTTTGCAAAGAAGCCTTAGGAGCAGCAGCTGCAACAATGGCTCGGGATGTAAATTACAACATCTTTTGATGTGCGGCCACATAAAATCATGGATTAAAAAGTCTTTCCAAAAAAGCAGCCACAGCAGCCGTTCAGAATCAGCGGAAGCTACTGGCAGTGTTCTCACAAAGGATGGATACACAGATAGGCTACCTGGAGAAACTAGCTACCCCAGCTCCCAAGCTCAATACCCATTTGGGATTCAAGAGGCTGGAAAACACAGCAAGTAAACCAAAAGCTCACTGCTGTCTGTGCTTTGTGCTCCCAAAGAAGCAGCTAATATGTACGAGGAAGACCTTAGGTTTATTTCCACACATTTCTGTGGAGTTGTTAGTGAAGAGCATGAGACAAAACAAAGGAGACATTCCTTGCTTAAAAAGGAAAGCATACTCCTTGTCTGCTCATCAGGATATTTATGAATAGTCCCCTTATGTAATTCTTGCCATGTAACACTTTACTGTGCTCTATTTGGAACCTGCCTTCTGGGTGACCTTAATAAAGACACTCAGTCCTACCATATCGCCTTCCTCTGAGGCAAGACAGGGCCTTTTTAGTGGTGGTGCCAGGTTGTGAAACATGTTGTCAGTACTTTTTGGACAGGGCTAAAAACATAGCCATGCACTTAGCTTTTGCAAGCATGTCATCTAGATAACTGTTTCAAATGTACTTATTTATTATATCTTGCCTTCTTTCCTTCCTTTTCTTACTTCCAAGAAACTCAAGGCAGCTTACATAATTCTCCTCTTCCTCCTCTCAACCTTACCCTCCTAACAACCACCCTGTGAGGTAGGCTGGGCTGAGAGTCTGTGACAGGCCCAAAGCCACCCAGTGAGCTCCGCGGGTGAGTGGGGACTAGAACCCAGATCTCGCTCTCCCACTTCTGCGCTCTGAACCACTGCACTATTCTGGGCCTGTTATTTGGCCAATCCTCTTGTTTTAAGTGCTTCTGCTAGTCTTGGAAATATTTCAGAATTTTATTATAACCTGCTATTGAGACCAATTTTTGGTGGAGAAACAGTATGTGAATCTTTCAATTAAGAGGATGCCATATCCATCGCAAGCCTGAATGTGAAAGAAAATAAACACACACATCTATTTGAGTTTGTACATTTTCTACTCCCCTTCCTTCAAAGAGATCCCTCTGTGTACATTGCAACAACAGAGTTCCATTGAGATGGGACAAGGGCATGCCTGGCCCAATGCTACCCAGGCAACATCATGCCCGAGGGATAGTGGATCCCACGTTTCCCTGTACTTAATCCACAGCAGTACCCTAATTCTTGGAATGCAGCTTTTCCTGAACATCCACAACCCTACTGTTGGGAGCACATCAAAGGTATTCCACATTTAGTAGCCCTTCCTTTGCTGCAGGATGTTTAATCACATTCATGCCCATCTGATAGCAGCATAAAGCACGACTTCTATGTCTGAACAGGTCAAAAACCTGGTAGAAACCAGAGTGGGCATTGCTTCTAATGTCATCTGAAACACAATCCTTCTCATCAGTTTAGCTGCTACCCTATTAGGAGAAAATCAAGTGGAGGATCTGCACTTGGGAACAAGCCCAAAGCAGTTCCACTGTGGTGTAGAGGTTAAGAGTGCAAGACTGGCACTCAGGAGATCTGAGTTCTAGTCCCCACTCACTGGGTTGCTCACTGGGTTGCTTTGCGTCAGTTATGGACACCCAGTCCAACCTACTTCATAGGGTTGTTGTTGTGAGGATAAGATTGAGAACAGTGGAGAATAATGAATTCCTTGAAAGGCAAAAAGATGGGATATTAATAATAATTCCAAATACTGCTATAAAAAATGTAACAAATACCAGCAATCTACAAGTTAATGTTCTACTTTCACTGATAGCAAATGGAACATGGGTTCTGGCACTCCATTCTTAAAGATTTATCTTAGTTTATTTCTCTGAACTTCTCCAGTTTCAAGATCTTCAAAGCCCCTTTAAGAACATGTTTGCGCAATCCTATGAAAACTGTTTTCATTTCCCTCTGAATCCTGAGGGGTGATTCTGCTGAGTTGCTTGCATTTAGAATCTGAATTAATACCAAGTGGAAGACACACAGGAAGCAGTGCTGAGCAACTCAAGGTTTCTGATGCAACCTTGCTGGCATGGTTACTGCAGCCTATCTGCATGGTTAATAAGCACTTGCTTTCTGACACAAACAATGTTGGGATCACTTAGGTCTAGGACAGACCAACCTGTGCCCTCCAGGTGTTTTGAACTACAACTCTCAGAATCCCTAAGCATTAGTCACGGTTTATGGGAACTGTAATTGAAGGAAGTGGAAAAACTGGTAGAGATGAGAAGGCCTTGGCAAACAACAAAAATGAAGGAGATTCTACCTCCCCATCTTCCCATTTCTTTTTCAGAAATGTTCTTCATTCTCTTCCAGAAATTTTTGGAAAACTGAGGACTCATCTGAATGTTTTTGGTATTTTTCCAATGACCCTAATGCACCTTATCCAAGCTTTTACATTCCTGGGCATGAGGCCATAAAGAGACTTGGCGAGCCAGTCCCAAGCCCCTTTCCCCCACCCCAAAAATGTTAACTTCTACAAGTTTCACAGATGGAAGGCACAGCATTATGTTTTAAAGGAATGCTTTATCATTTACACCCATGGACAGAGAGTATTTTGTATAATCTGGCTCTCATTCACCGTCGCAGTATTCAGTGTGCAGCACTATAAAAAACAGGTATACTGTGATCCTTGCATTCTGGCTAATGTGCAATGATACTGTAGGTGACATTATAAGCTTATCAAACTATCACTCTTTTTATGGGAATCAGCAGTTCCTGATACTGATTGAATTTCCTCCTGATTGCATAAAACATTTAAGCAGCCCAATTAAAAGGGTCAACAGTGCAAGGCTACCAGGACCCTATCCATCATGTTGTCACAGGCCTGGCCTACCATCCAAATGGCAGCGACGTTTATCCTTGTTCTAAGGCAGATGTGATTAATACTTTCTTATGAAGCACAATATCCGTCTCAAAGAATAAACTGATTAATCTGTTCCACTCTAAACAGGTTCTAGGAAGCAAGCAGGGGACAGTCAGAGACCAGAACATTTCCTCATGTGAGAGTGAGAAGCCATGCACTTCCTCTCCTTGTACAGAGTAGAATGTTTTCCCCCATTCTACTACCAGAGGACTGCCGATTACATCAGCAACCCTACACGAATTCACCAAGTAGTATTGTATTCAACAGCGGTTACCTTTTGGATAGGCACATATTCTTTGGGTGCTGAATTTCAGGCCTGTGGTACAGATTTGGTCCACTCGGGCTCCAATCCAGCTCTCCCAGGCCTCCATTCCCCTGACTGCTAATTTGCAGTTTTATCCCCTGTTCTAAATTCCTCTCATCAGGCTTGGCTCCTTGCAGTGAGACTCATCTCCTACTGAAATGCAGCCCAAGAGTTTTTACATAATTCTGTCCTCAGGCTAAATGAGGCTTGACACCTCTGAAGTATAGAAATGTAGAGTAAAACAACCAAGAAAACCCTCTTGGTTAATGGGTGATACAGAAATCAAATAAATAAAAGGTAGAAGAGAACAAATATCATTAAATGACAATGTAACAGACTGAACCCAAAAAAGAAAGGAAGCACACTCAGGCATTGATTCTTAAAGTTCCACAGTAGTTCTTATAATGATCAGCTTTAGGAGAAAAGAAACAATCAGGAGTAAAATGTGAACTTTCCTTCTGCACAGCTGATGGACCAGGGCCCATCTCTTCCTCTGGTGCCTGCAGGTGGAATTGTTTGCACAGTAAGAGAGAGGCAAAGGATGCCAGCAAACCTGTCAAAATCTGATCGGTTATGTACACCTCATGATTCACTGCAGAAGTAACAGAACTCCTCTTCCCATGCCACAGGTCACCATTTCATCTCAACCTTTGGTGCAAGGCATTGGACTAGGAGCAGGTTGACCCTGTTCCAGAACACCCCAGAATTATAAGCATCACAAGGTGATCTTGGGACAATCCCCATGAACCTAATCGACCTTAGATCATTGCAAGGATAATAAAGAAAGGAGCCAGGTATCTAAGCTCTTTGAAGAAAAGGTAGGATTAAAATGTATTAAAATACATTGCTAAAAGCAATTCTCCACCTCCTGGATGGTGCATTCATTTGGCCTCTATAGCCTGGCTTTAGAAGCAATCCTTTATTTATTTAAAACTTTTATATGCTGTCCTCTATGCGTGGCATCTCAGGACAGCTTACAAACATTAAAATCAAAAACAAGCAATCAATACAAATATAAAACAATACACAGTCAATAAAAATAAATTAAATCAAGAGCGATTGATTAAAACTATTAAAATACTATCAAACTGACAAAGGTATAGAGCTCCTTTTGAATGTGTTGCCCTTTTATTAATTAGGGATTCATTGGACTTTTCTCTTCCCCCACCCTCTGTGTTTTTTCAATCTGGATTACCAATGAATGGATAAGGATTGGATGCATTTTATATCCATATTTTCTGGACTTGAAATATGCTCTGCAGCAGAAAAGACGTAACATCTGAAGAAATTAACACTTTTGAAGAATGTGCAAAGAAATACCTGTACATTTTAAAACTGCATATAAATATGCTTTAGTCATTATGTGGCTATATAAACAAGATGTGTATAATTTGAAAAAAAAACCAGTACACTGAAAGGTGCATTAAAAAACAAAAAAGGAAGAAAACATAATTTATTTCTGTTAAAAAAAATAGCACAGAACTGGCATGGAATGGACAGAGGTGAAAAATGGAGGAAGTCCACAGAAACAAACCTGGTAGAATCACCCTTCACTATTACTATTATATTATTAATAAATGGAAAATAAAACTATGTGTAAATTTAGGGTAGAATAAATAACTTTATAACAGGTTGGTTGTAACTATTTTGAGATGGCTCCAACTTGAACACATTCAACAATTTAGTATGCTGATAGAGGTGTGGAAAGGAGTTGGAAGGGAAGCAATGCATTTTGTTATCAACCTATGAACACTGACATGCATTTGTCCCTCCACTCGGTAATTTATGTTCTAAAAAATTAACATTGGGGGTTCAAAACTGAAGAGCATCTGTACACACGAAAACATGATACATACAAAATAGCCCCTTGACCCCAGCCCCAATAAAGTGTTACAAGTTGCTAGACTGAAGTACCAACTAGGTGCTTATTTTTATTTACAAGAGTTCTACAAGGTGCTTCTTTTTCACTATGTTCTAAGGGGCTTGCTCCCCGTTAATGTGCACAGAATTATGCTGCACCAGGCTTTAATAATCCTGATAGTGGTTACCTGATGGGTGCAGTAGGATTGATATAGGTGCTAAGGTGACTTGTACCTGCAAGAGGTGGGGGCGGGGAATGGGTTTAAAGAAGTAAGGCAGGGCTTCAGTACCTGGAGCCTATTTGAAGCAGCAGGAGCTGTGGCCCTCCAGATGTTTTGGCTTACAGTTCCCATCACCGTAGCTAGCATAGTCAATTATATTTATTTAAAACTTTTATATGCTTTATGTATGACATCTCAGGACGGTTTACATCATTCGCGGATGCTTTGCAGGCCAAAACATCTGAATGACCACAAGTTGCGCTACAAGAAGTCCATACAACAGAAACATTGATTGCTGCTCCATAGAAGAGGAACCACCATTTCTGCCTGCTCACTCCTCTTTCATTGAGCAGCCTGATGAAAATTAGGCTCACTGGCTCCACTCTGCCATTTGGAAGGGGCAGGTGAGTGAATGAGGAGCTGGCTTTTCACTCCACTGGCATCCTTCTGTGCTGCACCACCCAGACTGAACCGCAACTGCAATTCTAAATGAACAATGAAGGGCTAAGAGCGAGGAGAACCTTTTCATTTGAAATGTGTTACTTCTGAATATTAATGCACCATAGTGAAAGAGATTTTATTTAAAATAACTGAACGTGCATTCTAGTCAGTGTAGGAGGAATGGTGGTTTTGGTCAAGTTTACAGATCCAGCAAATCCAAAACTTTCAAAAACTTATCCTAAAATTATTGTGTTAAATAAAGCAGTATTAGAGGTACGTCTACAGTTCTACACATACTCATGAAAAGGTTCTGAATAACCCATGCATTGGTTCAGGTTGCCTTCTAAGCAGGTTAAGGTCAAGATCCTCTTCCTTTTTGACACAACCATGACCCATATCACTGATCAAGTTCATATTCTGCAGGTAATTTCCCTTTAGCAAACTACCAGGGTTACTGATAACCCTCATGTTCAACAAGCTAGCACATACTTGCAGAATTTGAGTTGGCAGTTAATACAGCACACTTGCATCTACAACCAATGAAGACAATTTGGTGAAGCATATATTTCCTTTACATGAGCCTTGGAAAGATTTGTTAACTGGAGGCTATATGAATAAGGCCAAAAGCCAACAAATAGCCACCACCTCTTACATTCAAGGTCCATTTTAGTTGGTTGGTTGTTATTGTGAAGGATTCAGGATTCTAGCTACGTAAAGAAAGCTGTCAAGAGTCTGATACAAAGCCATTTTCAAAAAGCATCCCATGTTTTCCGCGGCCTCCATCAGCCACATTGCCAGTGAAGCAGGTGGTAGAGACATGTGTCTACACAGGAAGGCAGCAGGCCTGCAGATGTCTCGCTTTTGCGGAACCAGGCAATCCTTCAGGGGCTCTCAGCAGCATTACAAAACCTGGGCCAGTAGCTTGCTTCTTTGAGGCAGGATGGCCCTGAAACGGCCTCGTTGGGTGTGAACTGCAAAGAACAGTGAAAAATAAGGCAGTCTGGTTCGTGGCGATGTGTCTGCATTGCGATTTGCGATGCCAGCTTGAAGCCCCAACTTCGCTGGGCGGGACAGCGCGCACGCGCGCCCCTGGAGCGTTATGTTGAAACCCAACTCGCCCTCGCCTGAAAGCGGCAGCTTTCAGGCCAAATCAGGCACCGCCTCTTCCTCCTCCGCGTCCTCCTCCGCGTCTCCTCGACCGCCTTCACCGACGCGGGCCCGTTTGGTTCCACGCTGCGCCTCCCGCTCTTCCTGGAAGGCCGCCTCCCGCCCAGCCTCCGCTTCCGGGTCTCGGAGCAGCTCCTGCTGCTGCGGAAGCTTCAAAGCCTGGCGGAAGAGGTTCCGGTTCTCTCTGCGCAAGCGCCGGTTCTCTAGCTTCAGCCGCGCGTTCTCCTCCCGCAGGCGCCGGCTCTGCCGCTCGCGCTCTTCCCCGAGCCTTAGCGCTTCAGCGTGGCTGGCGGCCAGGTCTGCGTATCTCTCCGCCAGCTGCTCCGGCGAGCCACCCGGCCGACCTCGCCAACCGCCGCAGACGCAGCACTCCCCTTCTACGCTGCGCCCCCTCCGCGCAGAGCGGCCACAAGGGCTGCTGCGGCTGCTACCTGCACGAGCTCCGCAGAAGCAGCAGCCCCTCCACTGTCGGCTCGCGCCGCGCATGCGCCTCATCCGTGGGCTCGGCACCTCTTTGCGCTTCGCGAGGAAAAGGGGGGACGTGGATATGTCCGGGTCTATTGTAACGAAGGGGGGCGGAGTTTGGGAGTGCTCTTCTGCAGCGGAGGGAGGGGCGGAGACTGGCAGAGCAGCCGGCTTTTCCCACTCCCGTTGCTCCTGGAGCCCTGAACTGCGTGCGCGGTGGATGGAGCGTGCGTGTTTGTGGGCGGGGCGAACTGGGCGGGGCATCAAGCTGCTTGGCACGTTAGGTCTGCTGCATCTGATCGCATCGGTTGTGTGTACGCGCATCTTTGTTCTCAAGCTTCAGGGTTATGTTTTTCCTCTCGGGCGTGAAGGTTGCAAAATCATGATTTTACTAACATGTTAAAGGAGAGCTTACCTGCAGAATGTGTATTTGGACTGCAGCCTTCCAACCCAGGCTTCCCATTGAATTTCCTCCATAGGTGTGGGACTGGACCCACACATCTGAGGAGCATGAGGTTTGATGCTCCAAGGGCGAAGTGGTAAATTCAGACTATCCTATGACCCTGTAAGATTGGTTGCTTAGCTATGATCCTAAATGGGTTTCATCAGGCAGGCAGTCCTAGCTGTGTTGAATGGGGCATGCTACCAGGGAAAAATAGACTGTTCTGGCATTAGGCAATCTCACCCATAGTTATCAGGGAGTGACTTCCACTGAACTCTGGCCATGCTTCAGGTCAAGAATGTTGGCTACCGTAAAGCAAGGGTCTGTCAGTTGGGCTCCAACTTCCTGATCATGGGCCATGGTGTCTGCAGCTGATGGGAGCTGAACCGCCCACTAGCAGTTCACAGCAGTACGTTAAAAATAACAAAGATGCATCATATTAAAACATCATAAAAAGCTTACAATACAAAACAACCAAATTTTAAACACACACACACACACACATCTTGAAGGGAAAAAGGTCTTAATAGCTAGCAGGCCCCAGTAAACTATTTGAATGCCCTGCAGTAGGGGGTGGTCTTTACTTGGTGCCAAAAAGATAGTAAAATTGGTGCCAGGCAGGCCTCAGTGGGGAGCTTGTTCCATAACTGGGGGAACCACCACTGAAAAGGTCCTTCTTGTTGCCACCATTCACCTCTCCCTCAGAGGTGCCAGTTGGAGTTAGGCCCCAGAATATGACTGTAGTTTCCAGGTAGAGGTGTTTTGTCAGATATCATAGTCCCAAGCTAGACCACAGGTTTGTTATTCATTAATAGTATTTATATGGTCCTTAGACAGGTTACATTCAAAAATATTAAAAACCACTGTTAAAACACAGACTTATAAGAAACTATTGAAATGTATACTAAGAAACGTAAATGAATAAAATAAGCAAAATAGAGTACCAGCACAGTCAGAAGCTAAGCTAATGAGTTTTCAGAAGGCATTTCAGCCACATTTCCTGCCTGCTGTACAACATGGGGAAGATTGTTCCTGGGGCTGGGCGTTTCTCCTGAGAAGGCCAGCTTCCCTTTTGGTACAGGTATCTTCTGGAGATCATAAAGGTAGAATGGGTGTGTGTAGAGGAAGACCGTTAGCTTTGTCCTGGTTATTTAGGGTTTGTAATGTTCACAACAAAACCTTGAACATGGCTTGGTGGTGATGGTGGTCAGGAAGGCTTAGGGGAAAGCGGCAGCCTTTGGCTGAAGATGCTTGAAGAGCCAAACTGTTGGTGGTGCTCAGCTGGAAGAAACCAAAAGGCAAAGCCTCAGTCCCACTGATTTTAAGGACAGGGATATATAGTGAAATCCTATGCCTGGCTCAGGAAAAACAAAACAAAACATGGAATTGAGAGAGACAGACTTCCAAGTAAGTGCGTAAAGAATCATATTCTTAAGGACATACTTAATTCTCCTGTTGAAATTAATAGGTCTCAGCTGGATTGCGTCCAGCATTCCCTTTCCAGTACAACCATACAGTTTTAATGCATTATTTATTAAATCATTATTATTTATAGAGATGGCGCTTTATGGAATAGTATAAGCAAAATGCCAGGTACACCAGCCTGAGAAACAGCCTTTCTAAACCTGGCATTGTCCAGACTGTGGCTCCAAGAATTGCCTGTTGAATATATCTGGTGGGTACTGGCTTGGGAAAGACTGTGGAGAAGATTACAATCTAAATGTTGGCAGTGGCTGGCAACAAGAGGAGGCAAGGATAACGGGATAAACGCACTATTACAGCTTGGAGATGCTTTGGCTTTGGGTTCAGTCATTCGCACTTGCACGTAAGGATTACATATATAATTAGCTCTAATGGAAGAAAATGCCCTATTACTTTTTGCCCATGAAATTTCTCACCCTGCCTATGATTCTCCATCTACAACTGCCTCCCCAGTCATGCTGTGAATGCTGCAGTGGAATCTGTGTGTAACAGTATTAAAACATGGTGCGGTTAGATAGCTATTCCTCTGCAACATATGCAGATGAGTGGAGCAGCATGGCATTAAGGCTATATTTAATATACGCAGTATCGCTCTTCTGAGACCTAATTTGAGTTTTATTAAATATTGCATTGTCTGCTCTGCTTGTCTTCTTGGGTCTGCTTAGGCTTTGGGAGTCTTTAACAGCCCGTGGGGTCTAATGAAATGAATTAAGTGCCCTGGTATGATAAACTCATGCAGTTCATTCCGAAGAGTTTAGTTCTACCATTCAGTCAGAGAATCCATCTTGCAGCTCTTTTTTATTCTTTCTGTCGCTCTGACATGCGGTTGGCTTCCAAAAGGTTCGACATGTGCGAACCTCATTAACATGGAAGGGGCTGGACCAGAAACATGCATTGGAGGCTGGCCTGTTAAAATGGCCCTCATCTCCCTGATTCAGAGACCAAGTCGATGTGAGCAAAATGTGAGAGCTGAATCTGAGTGGTCTTTATATTCCATCCAGCAGAAGATGACAGATATCCTTGCTTTGCATTCATTGAACAGGAGCCTTATGCTATGGTCGGAAGAAAAACCACATGGTTTGCATGAAATAGACAATCGAGTTGTCTGGTTGGATAAGCCCATGGTTTATTATATCTAGGATTCCATTTCCAACAGTGGTCTGCTAAATATCTCTAGCACAGGCTTCCCTAAGCTGATGCCCACAGGATGCCTTGGACTATACCTCCCACCATGACCCAGTAACATGGCCATTGGTTGGGGAAGTTGGCTGTTGTAGTCCAGTGGAAGGGAGACGCCGCTGTGGACCATAAGTGCACAGAGAAGACACAATGTGCTGCCATGTTTGTGCCCAGTATGTGTTACTCAGAGGTGCATTGCCTCTATACATGGCCATTCCGTTTATCTAGCACCTCTTATTTTTTGTTTATATAAAATATATTTGTTTTCTATTCCACCTGTCAATCCACAAGAATCCCCCAGGTGGCTTGCATAAAATAAAACAGTGCCATATTATTGAGGGCCCAGATTCGGCAGCAATTGCCTCGTGGTGATGAGAGGTGTTGATACCCCTCTTGTCCATTAATTTGACTAATCTTTGAAACAGCCGCCTAAAGGAAGAATAGATTTCTTGAGGTTATCTTGTGTAGCCTGCTCCATCCCTCTCCTTTTGATACCTTCTGAGGACAGAACATCAACAAGCCACTCGGTCAGCTCTGTGTGGGTTTCTCCTGCCTCCACAGCAAGGCAGAACTTCACCAATGGCTGCTATTTGCTTAGAGGTCAAAAGATTGATCCTCACACCTAGTCCAGTCACTTATACTTTGGAAAAAAGGAGGAAATATATCACCTGCAAATGGGACAAAAGGGGATATTGATTTGCATAAACTGCACATATGCTGATGTCTATATATATGGATGAAAATTTAGGAGCATGTGGGAACTCTCCTCAGCATGACTCCCAACATGTCAAGCTGATTGTGAAACAGTTTCAGAATACATATTTTTAACAACAATTCCAACGTAAATGTGCACATTTGGATGTTTGAAAATAAGGTGAAGAAATAAGTGTGTACAGCAAAAATGTGAAAGCCAGGAAAGATAAGGAAATGCATTTTTTAAGTCTTGAAGAAACTTGCCATGCTGAGAAATAAGCAAAGCCATGTTATTGAAAAAGCCTTGGTAAAACAAGGCGTATAACACACTTTAATATTAGGTTTCAAGTGTTGACTAGCAAAATGGGAACATAAAAGACTAAAATGATATTTAGATGTTGTAGCAGGGATTTTTTTTCTAAAGTTTGTCATTTGTTTTCCTGAATTTAATGTGTAGCTAGGTACAAATTTGACATGCATGACTAACTGTTTGCTCCAGATGGAATTACTGCTGACTGTGTCTATTTTAGAAAATTTGGTTTTCAGAAAAGAATTTTATACTGATCTCCCTTGACCTAAACATTGCAAAGGCTTATTTCCTTAGAGGAATGGACAGACTCACACACACACACACAAACACACACAGTGCTGTCTTTTAAGTTCCACTTTTTACAGATGCTGACAATCCTTTGTTAAGCTGATGGACTGCTAATGGTCAGGCATGATAAGCTCATGTTTCATCAGTTGCAATTAATATTAGGATGAGTTCTGATAGCAGGGTATTTTTCTGTAGCTTCCAAAATGTGATACACAGCACAAGTTGGTAAAGTGCCACATCCAGCTAGTTCAGGATTTGTAGGATGACTTTGGAGGAAAGAACACTAATGTTTATTTGTGGTGGTGGCTTGCCACAAGTATGTTATGACTAATGTGGGATCTTAGGAAGGCTTTAATCAGAGGTGTAGGGTGTATACAGTAAGCTTATTCACAATGCTGCTTCTAGAATGGGCAATATCTACTTCTGAAACAGGGCAATTAACTCAAACATTCAAAGGCCAAAAACCTGAACTTTATTTTTACAGGTTGCTGTTCTCAAAACCAAACACATGAACATTTGTTGTGACAAAATCCCAGAATTTCAATTTGTGAGGAGGAAATAAAACTCAGGTTCTTGGGAAAGATCAAGCGTTAAGACCATCTGCTGCTTTATTGTTTGGCCCAGGTTCCCCGCGGGATCGTACTCATGATAATGCATTACCGGGCAGGCAGAGGTGGACTTGCTGCAAGGTCTCAATACAATTACAGGATATTTTATACCTTCCTGGTC